TTGACTCATACTCATTGATAGACACAAAATCTCTTTCCTACCAAAATTCGTAACAGTATTAAAACAAACCCTTTTTATCAAACACGGTGACCGTTGCAAAGCCATTGCAAAAACATGGAGGACAATGCCAAAACGCAGGACAAAAATACCCCACCGTACACCTCGCAAACAATACACAAACATTAACGCGAAAACTTTGCAACACGCACACAGACGCTCATAAGCACACTGGGGGTACAGTTGACCAATAGCATGCATTTAACCCTTCACAGAGATTAGGGACAAGCATTGTTTCAAAATCCGGAGTTTCGGCGCCATTTTGTTCATTTAAAATGGACGATGTGACAATGGGTCACTATTGTTCGTCGAGAAAGCTGGTCGGACGTCATAGTCTGCAGTGCCGACGAAAGTAGGCATGGTTTTGTCTTTTTTCAAATTTTTATGCATTCCCTGCGTTTCGGTTTTAAGTCGGCCATCGTGTTTGATGAAAAGATTTGCGGTAATGTAAGATGGATTTCGTTTTCTGTTTGGAGAAATGTGTCGAGTCAAATGGGTCATTGTGGTGGGAAGATTTTATTGCAGTCATGTAATAATTGTGAATATGTATTGTTTAGAATCTTGCAGTATTTAATAAACATAACATAACATCACGCCTTTTATCCCGGAAGGGATAGGCAGAGGTTCGCATTACAGCACTTAATGCCACTGTACAATGTAACGTCTACTTTTCACTATTAATGTTATGAGTCCCATGTAATAGGGGATTAGCCTATTGCCATATACCGGGCACAATTCCAGACTCCGTGCTACTTCTAAGAATTTTTAAAAACCCAGTAATACTTTGCCCGACCCGGGAATCGAACCCGAGACCCCTTGCCCGGCAGTCGCACTGGCGACCACTGACAGGTCATACTAAGAATTTACTGTTTTTAAATCGGTTATAAAGAGTTAAATTTTCCTTATTTTACCTTTCCACGTCTCATAAAATCAAATTACATTCAATCACGGCCACGCTCGTGCCATATTCAAAAATACATATATTTTAATCCGGATTCCACAAAACTGGAATTTCAAGTTTCTATTGTCACTTTGTAAAATAAGGGTCACAATAACTAGATCATTTCTATTATGTTCGTCGGCCAACTGCGCGGTGGGTTTATGAACATAATATGACCCGTTTTGGTGCAATATTGTCCAATATTCGGTAATAGAGTTTTGTCAACATCGGGCGTGTTGGACCGGGCGCTATTGTTGCAGGGTTAACATTGACAAATTATTAAATGTTGGAAATAATGTGTGTTGATAGGTCTGTGTTGATAGATTATTTTTAGTTACGTTTTTGTGGTGTGTTTAGGAAGGTGTGTTGAAGTGAAAATATGTTTGATAAATTGTAACTAATCTGCTACCATTTTATGTGTTATCTATTAATTCTTGTATGCTATTCAGCATACCATTTCCATTCGGTAATAGAAATAATTAAAATAATGTATGCCTAGTTACACAAGGAACTAATTCCAATGTATTAATTTATCAGTTTGTACTATGTTTTGTAGGGTATCAAAATTATGTACACACCAGGATACAATATTTTCGTTTTGTACTGATTTATCCGTTTATGAATCAGTAGAAATTATGTTTATTCTGTATGCATACATATATAACATCACGCCTTTTATCCCCGAAGGGGTAGGCAGAGGTGCACACAGAAGTAACACCCACTTTTCACTATTTATGTTATGATAACCCAGTAATACTTTGGCCGACCCGGGAATCGAACCCGAGACCCCTTGCCCGGCAGTCGCACTCGCGACCACTCGGCCAACGAGGCAGTCAATTCTGTATACTTCTGAATAAATAAGAAAAATTCTAACACGAGCCTACCCCAACACAGTTCTTAGCGCACAATAAGCGGTTTACTTACACTTGACTACAATTCATTTGCATTACAAAAGGTTTACAATAAATTAAATAACTCCCTGTATATAGCCAGGTCTCAGGTGTTGTACTCAGGCTGTGTTCGCCCAAGCTTGACTACGAACAAAGCACAGCGAGGACAGACAGACGTATCTTATTACAATTCAATTTTGATGATTGGATAGTTGGATTGATTAGTTTTTAATCGAAGATTCGAATGGGTTTGGAGATTTGTGGGAATGGAGATTGATGGGTTAAACCGGTATAGGTTGTGCATGAAAGTGCGGGGTTTTAAGGATTTGGGGAGAAAAGATGAGGAAGAAAACACGTATAAAAGAAAAATGTTTTTAACAATAGGATCTCATGAGAAACTAAAAAAAAATTTAATAAGCCTTTAGTAATTACTAATGTAACTTAAAACTCATAAAATAATACGCATACCTATAAAGTAAAAGTATACCAGAACTCAATTTAAATATTTTGATCATATTTTTATCTTGTAGCGAACTCGTAGCAGATTCGTAGCATCTCGTAGCTCGTCTTCAAGCTTTGTGCTACGCCGGACTTGTGTCTGCAATAATACTGAAAAAGTAACATAAACTCAAGCCCTTGTCCCACAGGGATAGGCAGCAAATAAATTAAAGAACGCCATACCTCTACTAGATCAACCAGAAAATAACAAATCTGTTTAATTCAGAAAAATAACTACATAAGCAAGGTAGAAGTATCAAGACCAACATCACTAAATTAATATAAAAAGAGAATACAAGTATTTATAGTTTACTCTCTTCTCAAATCTTTAAACATCTCAATAGTGGAACGCAGTAAATATAGCCTTTCCTTCTACAAAAACAAATTATAAAACTGTAACCGCGGTTCACAGAAAAAATGAAACAAAACCCTTGCAATAAGTAGGACCAATAAGGGCACTCGGCAAACAGTGTAAATTACCAATTAGTAAGCCTTTCATAGTGATACCGTGGAACAGAACAGTGCTAATAAAGGTATGGGTTCCGTATAGAAAAATATTATAATTTTATTCTGACATTAAATGCCTAAAATTTTTTTTATTCAACTAGAAGCTACGCAGTCGGGGCCTTTGACTGAGTCTTGAAAAACCTACGTAGAATAAGGAAGGGTGTTTAAATGTGGTAAAGAATAAAATAGTTTGGTAAAATTATTGAAATTAAGAAAATTGTTTTTAAGTAACAATGGTTTATTGTTTATTACCTGTTGCCTGCAACTTCTTTCGCGTAAAATATGAATTTTAGAATAAAACTATTTTCGTTTAATTTTTCCAAAATAAAAGTACTTAACTACCTGCAAATAAAGGTCTTGTGAAATCAGTCCAGCCATTTCAGAAATTTGCCTGTACAGACAGACAGAAAGACAAAACAAAAACTGGTATGTGTATCGTAATAAAAAATACTGGTATGTGTATCGTATGTATATTTATATCCATGTAGTAAAAGGCGGTTATTTTATTATTACAAACAGACACTCCAATTTTATTTATCCGTATAGACTTCATACTTACTTATCAATCTTCCTTCTTAAGGTGACTGTAAACAAAAAACTGTTGAAGGTTCCGCTAGCGTCGGTAGCATTGATCGCATAGGCAGTGAATGGCTAAACGTGTTAACCAGTGATACTTTCTATGTACTATTAGCAGCATATTTTAAGAAACAGGAACCCTAATTCCAATCCTAACCACAATCAGGCCCTCGATCCCTAAAAAAACTATCGCCACTCCCCGTGCTATATTGCGACACCTTAATTAGTAGCTGGCAACACTGAGTGGTCGGGAATTGCCACTTTTTTCCACCATTGTACCTCTTTATCGCCACTTTCTCCCCGACTCGTGGGAGTCACGTTGGCTCGATGTGCCAATTAAACTACGATATCAATTGTTCCTGCAAACCTTTTGATATGCAGTAATTACATTTACGAGTTTGTGAATAGTTCTTGCATTTTTTGTTGTTTTTTTTTTGTTTGTTTTTTTTTTTCTTTTTTTTCGTAGTACCATTTTATAATATACCAAAATATACCATAATATACCAATGTTTGTATAACTTGTACAATATTTTCCTAGTGAAATTTTATTTCTTGCGTGATACTTAATCTCTATTCAACGTTAAACTCATCTGTGACTACGATTTAATTCAATATTTAGGTGCCATTTGTATGGTGAATCTAAATTTAGCCGATGTCGAATATAATATGCAGCTTGCAACAGGCTCTTAAGTTGCGTTTTCGCCACATTACACTTTTATCTAAAACAAAAATAAACTGCATTCATAAATTATACACCTTTTTTCTTTTTTAAATTTAACTCAATGAATTCATTTAACTCGTCGAGTACCGTCATTATAGACACAATTATAGAACAATAGGTTGCGGTCACCGGTGACCGCTTGGTGTTTGACAGTTTAAAAGACTTACATCAAGATATAATCTTCTTTAACCTCTGATATGCGAACATACATCATAAGTACGTAAACACAATGTATATTATTGCATCTAATATATCGTAGTTAAGAGATTAAAATCAACCAATACTTAATACAAAACTATGAGTACAATACTCGCAATAATTTCCCGATCTATCGATATAATGCACTGCAATCGTAAGTATGCGAGAACAAGCTAGAGTGGGGCGAGCGCACTTAAATATTTGAACTGCAACAAGCCGAACAATCGAGAACTCGTAATGCTGAGCGTTTCACCTCTACTTCGATATAACCACCTATGGTTTTAAGAAGCGAACTGCACTTAAGATGGAGCGGTTTATGCTAGATGAAGGAAGTTTAGTAGAAGATTTATTTGATCTCTAACCATAATAATTTTATGTACAATTTAGTTAAATTACGAAATGATGAAATATGTATAAGTTTGTATTGAAGAAAATAAAGGCAAAAATAGAAACTGTATTAGGTTGTGTTTTTTTTAAATAATTACATATTTTAATATATTTGACAAATCTTAGCTCTAGGAAATGCTGCTCAGATTTGCGTAGATTATAGTTAAAACACTATTTTTATATAATAACAGATAAACTATATCATGTTACTGCAGCTTTGGTCTCATGTTTAGAGCGAAAATGACGTATAAACAACTTTTAAAAAAAATGACAAATTCCCTCAATAGATTTTATGCTTTATCTCAAAATACATCATTATCTATTGACAGTTAATGACTTGATGGGTTTGATATTCAAATCTCGATGTAGCATTGTTCCTTGTTGCATGGCGTGGTCCATAACCTGAGCTGTCATTAAAAGCCTTTTAATTCTCGATGGTTTCTCTTCCACGTAGCCGATACTGGCCTGAAACAAACGTTACAATTGTTTTAATATTACTATGCATGTGTATAATTATTATGTGTATGTGTGTGTGATTTCAGTTACAGTTTTGTAGGTAGACTATAGACTATTAGAAATATAATTATTTTAATGGGGATGATGACAGGGTATGACAATTAAAAATATAATTAGTCCGTAACTTAGGTAATTAAAAAATATTACATACGTATTTTTTTATTTTGTCGTATAATAAAAAGAACACTTAGATAAAACGAATCAAAGTTTAGGAGTGGGGGTTAAAACGTCATTCCTTAGTATAAAATGTACTGAACTGAGAAGTAACGTCACGCGACATTTCAAATCAATATATCTTCGAAACTATTCGTTTCCGTAAGAAAATAAAAAATACGTGTCTAATGTTTTTAAATAATCTACCAGACGGACATTAAAATAAAAATTAGTCGTCTACCCCATTATAAACTGTGTTTAAGAAGACCGAATTCAGCCCTCTCTTTTATGAAAACGGTTAATTAACCTCTTATCTGTACAATAGAAAACATATTGTGTCTCGCGTATATCACGTTCCGGCATACCATGTGTTAATAAACTAGAACTTTCTCTTAAGTGTAACAAACACTTTTCTGATACCCGCCACCGGTTCAGCCCGTCGCGAGATATACGCTGACAAACATACATACACACATACAAGTAAAACTTAGAACTTTTTTTTAAGTCGGTTAGAAATGTTTGTCATTTAGGTTTATAAGCTCTATCATTCGAGAATAACTATCGTTCTTTTTTTAGGAATCAAAGATCAAAAAAGCCAATGGCTTAGGGAGTCTGTTTCTATCGTAGTAAAGGAATGTGTAGAATAAAAAAAAATTAAAAGCACGCTAAGAATAATATTCAATAGAAATGTCAAACAACTATTGCTGAAGACTGTGTGTATACTTGTAATATATAAAATATAGTAAGTAATTTTTTTATAACTAGCTTCTGCCCGCGACTTTGTACGCGCAATTTTCTCCCGTTCCCGTAGGATTTTCAGGATTTTTTCTGCCTTAAGGACCTTCTCCTAATAATAACAAATATAACAAAAAAAAGAATTAGTGAAATCGGTCGAACCAATCACGCGTGATGCCGTGACCAAGGGAAAAGAGGATTTATTTCTATACATATAAGATAAGTTTAACTATAATAAATTGTAAAATAAAAACGTAGAGACCTTATACTTAGTGTAGTACAACTCCAAACTCATTTTTTTAGACTTAATTTTAAATTTAAATGTGTTAAAAACAAATCTTCAATATAAACTGTCCTACATTATATTTAAGCACTGCAATTTTACAACAAAATTAAAGAATCACGAGTTACATTCTTAACAAATCTTCACACAATAATAGCACCTATATGCCTACTACAGTCATATAACGATGGCATCATTTTCCTTTGAAATGCTATAATGCTTGGGGGCTTTTGTGGTTGACATGGATGCCTTCAATGCACTAGTCCAGTGTTTCTCAAAGATTATTCTGTCAAGTTCTGGTAATTTTTACACGGTAATTTAAAGATTGCCTCGTTAGCCGAGTGGTCGCAAGTGCGGCTGCCGGGCAAAGGGTTCGGTTCCCGGGTCGGGCAAAGTATTTTTTTAATACTTAATAGTAGCACGGAGTCTGGAATTGTGCCCGGTATATGCCAATAGGCTCACCCTCTATTACACGGGAATCATAACATAAATAGTGAAAAGTTGGTGTTACATTGTACAGTGGCATTAGGTACCTTTGCTTACTCCTTTGGGGATAAAAGGCGTGATGTTATGTTATGTAATTTTAAGATTCTGATAATTTATACAAGTTGGGAACAACTTGCATTTAAACGATATTATATATTTTCAACAGATTGAGTTGAAATTCTTATAGAAATGATGCAAAAACTTATCGTGAGATTCAAGTGTAATACCCTAAATATTTCAATTTTTATATTTTTATTTTATTAAGAGGAACAGCAAACAGTTACATTATAAAGGCTTGGGAACTAGTTTACACAAAATATAAAATATATTTTAGGTAAAAATGCAACCCGCAATACTATCTACATATTGCCATTCAAATATAGAACTATAATACTTAATACTTAAGGCCGATTTTTCCAACGCTGATAACAGATAACTTTAGAACTGAGGAATAACTTTGAAAATTTGACAATTCTTCCATATTTAAAACTATCAAATGTCAAATAATATTCTACATAATATGAAAATTTATTGATAATTGAAAAATAGGTCCTTAATATTTCTAAATGGTCGATACGCGGTCGGGACCTGATATTCGTATTTGGGAACCGCTGCTTTAGTCACTAGAATCAGCTCATTAAAGTAGCTCGTTCGCATCATTTCCTTACTGTTTTCAATCCTTATAAATGTTGTCTTGTTCTCTATGGAGCTTGTTACGTTGTTACGTTGTTATTACGTTTATTGTGTTATTTATTTTGTTCTGAAATGTATTTTACTATTTAGTTTTATTTTGAAGTGTCTGTTTTTCGTTTCTGTTGCTGCTTATTTTAATTTAGTTTAGCTATTGAGTCACTTTTTGTTGATATGACCTGAATGGAGATCTTCAATAATATAAAGATTGAATTGTTGTTGATGTTATAGTATAGATAAAAACTACTGAAATCGACAATTAGGTTTACACGTTTGTTCGTATCATATATCAAATAACACAATAGTAGAAAGATGAAGAGTAAAAATAAATGTGGTTAAGTACCACACAAAATACATTACAAAATAAATACAACCAGCAAAACAAACATCAAAATTTTACAATAAAACTAATACTACTTTATACACTTTAAAAACAACAACTACCTAACTACTAACACGACACAAGTATAAATTCACGCCAAAATCCACAAAGACGTCAATACAGCCGAACTAAAAGAACACACGAGCGGCAACAGTACGTCTGTTCTCGGCTTTACGTTTGCTATGACACTTTGTGTCGACTCACTTTTTAATTAGCGTATTTTCCTTTGTAGCGGCCCCGTGTAAATTAGCCTCGGATGTGAAGTGCGGCAAAGCCTAGACTGAGAGAACCGACTATAGAAGTACTTCTTGTAGAAGGCTTTTGTCAAAGCATTAGCGTATTAGTTGCTGTGTGGTTGGTATGGTATGGTAGTGTGTGTGGTTCTATAGAGGGGATTTAAGTTGAATTGAATGGTTATTTTAATAGTTTTTATTACATTTTTTCGTTTCAAATGGTGTACATCATAAAAATACGTGAGATAATTTGTCAAAAAAAATATTTTTCAAAAAATGTTAATCACGTAAGAGAAGGTAAAATTTATAATGCGTTTGCGCTGATTCTTGCTTATATTTCATGAGTTAAAGTTGGTAAAATGAAAAATTAACTACGTAAGCGTTTAACTCTTGGAATTTAAATAATATGATGATTTAAACTAAGTATGTAAAATGATTTGATTGAAAGAAAATTGATTGCACGGTTGGCGCGGTGGCTGGGCAACTGGTTGCCGCGCATCATGTTGCGGGTTCGATTTCCGCACGGAACAACTCTTTATGTGATTCATAGATTGTTGTTCCAGGCCTGTGTGTCACGTGTATGTGAACTGTATGTTTGTAGTAAATGCACTCACGACACAGGAGAAAATCCCAGTGTAGGCTACGTTTAAAAAAAAGAAACAATTTAAATTTAAATAAGGAAGTTAACATTCTGACTAGAAATGATATTGTTACTATAACGACATAACATTTAGAATATAATGGAAAACCTATGGAGTTTCTTGCTCGTTCTTCTCCATAGGAATCTACACCTTGGAATGAGCAAATAGCTTCACTTTTAATATTATTTTTATTTTGACGTTCAAAAGTGCCATTCTAGCCTAATTGAAATACCTAAATGATTTCAACTTTTTTTGACTTTTGAATGAATTAAAACTCAACGACAACTATAACACAGGTAGTCGAAGACTTGTTAAAAAATAACCTAATTATTTAAAAATTATGAGCTTCAATAACCCAATTTGGAAGTCAATTAAGTGCGTAGATACATATCTTTGTAACGTCGTCATAATTCAACCATAAACTTTACTATCGTAAATTTCGAACAAACAAACACAAACACTACCCAAAGGCATTGTAGCACATTAGAATTTTAACTTCAGCAGTTTGGAGGCAAGAAGATTAACAAATCCCAATCACGGGAGAGATTCGCGTATTCATACTAAAGTTTTCCGCCCAGAAGGGAGATAGAAGATACATTAAGATGCAAGAGTGAAAGAGAGGTTGATATTCCGAGTGTGAGGGCCACAGAACATGGGTCTGACATAATGATATATTAATTTCTGTCGCGAGCTCCCATTGTTTTGGTAGGTATTTTACGGCGTGACGTATGGTCATTATGTTTTCATAGTTTCATAAAGACGGATTGAAAGGAGCGTGGTAGCGTGTTCTTAATGACTGAGAAGTATAATGTGTGTGATAAATCGCTTTATTGCAGAATTATTGTTGTGTGCGTCTGTGTGTGTGTGTAGTCTAATAATTATAATGTTTTGGTTTATATAGGTTTCAAGGAATACTGTTTTTGTGTGTGTACTGGTACACGTGGATTACTACTGATCTACTCGCTTTTTATCTATATTTTGAAATTATAAGAAATTTCTTAAGTTTTGATGCACATAATACATAAACCTCACGGATACCTATACTCATTACATATAGTTATTAGACTTAAGGAAAAATATGCAAATATTATTATTTGTTTTTTTTTAAGAGTAACGAATGGAATTTCTTGCTCGTTCTTCTCCATTCGAATCTATATTTTGGAATAAGCACCTAACTGACAGACTATTGTTTATTTTTTATTTGTTGAGTTTGTCAAAAAACAGCTTACTAATACATGACCTCAATAAAAAAGTACATTATATCTCACTGCAAAATTAATAAAATAACTACGTATCTATATACTACGCTAGTATCTACCTACATCCTCCCACTAATGAGGTACCCA